ATCCAACAGACGTACTCTGCTGATGTCTTCTCAATAGAGGACAAGTTCACGCAGGCCAGCAGGTTTTGCATTGCTTCTTGACCACAATTTCTGCATCTGAGGGCTAGCTGTGCGGTTGAGCTTGGGCCACTTAGAGACTCCACGGCCTGATTCAAGAGCCTATGCTAAGAACAGGCTTTGGATCAGGCAGAAGGTGACAGGTCTCCTCTGTGGGGCAAATGCGGGCTCATGGGGAAAACCCTCCCATGCGGGCATCCCTATTCCTACCCCTGAAAACATCGCAAGGTTCTTTACAGCATCCTCAGCGGTTCCTTTCCAAAACAGCTTAAGTCAGGAGTGACAAATGAGTTTATTAGTCTTCTTAAAAGACTGATGTAAGTCTTACTAGTTTTTAATGTGTTTATCTCCTCACTGAATGGACAGAGACGGAGGAGCCACCAGATGCGAGAACCAGAGGACCTCACGGCACCAAGTCTGGAACCCACGGCAGCTGTGGTGGCTGGTGACTGAGCAAGAAAAAGAAACTCTGACGGTTAAGGCACCGAGTGGCTAGTCTGCTACAAACAATGAGTGTCTCTCAGTGACATGCATTCTCTGGCGTAGAATTATTGGGTCACTGAAAACTTAGGTATCACCATGGCCTTGTAATTTGCTGAGGCAATTTTTAGACTTGCACCAGTGGAGCCCGAGTTTCTGTTTCCCCATAAAATCTGTTACCTAGCTTTTGGATCCATGTCAATCTAAGACCAAGCGAACAAACAAAACTCAGTGTTTGCATTTCTTTACTGAACATGAGGGTGAGTGCTTCTTTGAATAATTATGAAACCATTTGTATTTCCTTTTCTGTGAGCTGCCTGTAATTTGCCTACATTTTAACATTTTTCTTTTTCATATTAATTTTTAATAAAGCTTTATAGGGAAGTTAGCCTTTTGCTTGACAAATGTGCTACATACACATTTCCATTTATCTGTTTGCAGCCCAGATGATTTGCATTTTAGTGAAATGAAATGTGTTGCTCTTTTTCCCTGTCTCTGGGCAGCGCCGTCCCTGATGTAAAAAATATATAAACACCAGGCTATGTTTTCTTCTGGTGCATTTGGTTTCATTTTCGATCGACAGATCTTTTTTAATCAAGTTGTTTTGGTGTTAGGAGTAAGGTCAGAATCTAGACTTTTCTTCCCAATGGTTATCACATTATTACAAATACATAAATAAACCCTCTTTTCTTCTCTGATGAGACATACAATATAAATGTGTCATACATTCCCATGTTTATTTCAGTTCGTTTTTTAACTTTAGTGGCCTCACGCTGTCTATTATGAAGTGGTACAATCTTGTAATTGCTTTAGTTATATGGTTTATTGTAATAAATGGATAGGATCATTTCCATTCAATCTATTTATCAGAGTTTTCCCTGTCCACTTTCACATAATCATTTGTCCAGATGATGTTTAGGTCAATTCAGTGATAGTCCAAAGACAACTGCTGGCATTCTGCTTTCTGGAGTCATGTTCGGTTTAGAGATTACTAATGACATCATTGGCATCTTGTTATTTTCTTAAGCCATTTAATTTATTCAAGTAAAATATAAGTCATCATAGCTATTGTTGACTCCCCCTTTTATCCACTTTAGGTTCTAAAATCCAGGTTTGGAGTCATTCCCGGGGGCGGGGGGGCATTCATTTCCTAGGGTAGCTACAACAAATGCTCACATTTAGTGGCTCAAGCACCTCAAATGTATGATCTGCCATTCCTGGAGGCAATGTCCCAAAGGGGACTCAGGGGCAAAGTCAAATTGTCAGAGGGCCACATTCCTCTCTGGAGACTCTAGGGCAGAATCTGTTTCTTGGCCTTTTCTACCTTCTAGAGGCTGCCCACATTCCTTGGCTCACAGCCCCTTCCTCCATCTTCAAAGTCCACAACATTGTGCCTCTTCCAAAGTCACGTCTTTCTCTGACTGCAGCTTGAAGTACCCATGTGATTAGTCTGGGCCATCCCACATGAACCACGATAATCTCACTAGCTCAAGGGCCTCTTGGGCTGCAAAGTTTCTTTTGGCCAGTGAGGTGACATATTCACAGGCTCAGGATGTTGACAGGGTCCTCCTCGGGAGGGTCATCACTCTGCCTACTACGGCTCTGTTCTGAACTGCTGTGGCCCTCTCTACCTTCACGGACTCAAGTAGAAAACCCTAACTCCTGTGAGAGGAGATTTGGTTTCACTCGGGCTGGGGACTTTAAAGTGCAAAATGATATGCTTTGTTTTAGGAGTGTTTAGCTACCAAGATGTCTACCTTGCCATTTAAAGTCCCATTTACTTGATGGTGGTGGACTAAGTGCAATTTGGTGGCAGGTATCTATGGTGGTGATACCTGATGGAGAGAATCCTAATGTTCCCACAATTAAGAGAATAAAATAGTTTTAAAAATCCCAGTCGCTAACATCAACTGGAACTGTGGGTTGCTCTGTGATCTTGTAACATAGCTGCCCTGCTCTCTTCCACTCTTCTTTCCTCCAAACTATAGAGCTCCTTCCAGCCTCACTCCTAGCAGATGTAATTGCTTCCTACTTTCTGTGAGTGGGGAAGCAGCTCCACATGCTCTCCCGCCATGGTCTAGCTTCCCGTGTCCCTACCCATAGAACTGACACTGAGGTCCACTGATTACTATAGCTCATGAATAGGTCGAGCCCTGCCTTGTGCTCTGGACCCAACGCTTGTAGCCCGCTCTGGGAAATCACCCTGGTGACTTCCCAACCTCCACGCCTCAATTCTTCCATCTCTATCATGAACTGCAGCAGCGGAGAAAGATGTTCTAATATCGCCCATTGGGCCCAACAGCACGTGTCTCAGAGGGACAGGGTTCTGCTGACACCCATCCGTCACCCTGACTCCTACAGTGACAAAGAACACTTTGTCACCCTGGGAGCTGGGTGAGTCTCCACACCTCATGCCCTGCCCACTTTCTGCTCTAGGCTCTTTTCCCAAGTAAATTATTCACACACTTAATCAGACCCTGTTTCAAACTCCCTCTTGGGACTCTGCATAGGGCCAGCGGCTACCTTCAGACCAAGGCTGTCATTATACATTTGGAGGATTTCAGGGACTAGTCCATGTCTACAATCATCTGCCCCAAACTGCAACTTCAGGACTCTTGGGTGATGTGTTGTTTTCCACTCAGTCACAGAAATCCTTCTCTCCTTCATAAGCACAGATATTATTTGTAAATTGTTAGTTCCATTTTTATAGAAAATAATTTTAAAAGGTCAAAATAACTCCTGCAGCCCAAACACCTTCAAACATCTCGACAGTGCAAATATTGTTCAGAATGGCTAGGAACCACGTCGAGTGCAAATATTGTTCAGAATGGCTAGGAACCACGTCGTTTCAGAAATAAACAACAGAGACAGAGCTTCCAGCAGACAAGTTTGTAAGACTGTCTATTTGGTAAAGGTTATTTACTTAGTGGATGCTCTGGAGAGCAGGAACAAAGAGAAACATCAAATTAACTGGATTTCAAAACAAAGCTACAAAGAATATTTGTTCCCGATATCTTATCTGATGTGCATTCAATCCAGGCCTCATAACCGAGGGCCATCATCTCCTTCATGCAGACGGTGCTTGCCAACAATGTGTCTTTCTTTTGCTTTTTAAGGAACTGAAAGAACATCTGTGCGGGCAGAAGTGAGATAGAACTCTCGGTCTCACCTGGGCCACTCTGGGGGTTCAGGGGGCCCCAGGCCATCACCAGCCTGCCACAGAGACCAGGCAGGGCGGGCAGAGCTAGGAACAAGCAACACTCAGCCTGAAGATGACCGTCACTCACTTTGCACCAGCTGCCACCAAGGCTTTCTTCTTGCTTGAACTATGCGTCTCTACATGTTAGTCACGTGAAAACTCGTCTGTATATCAAGGCGCTTGGCCTCTCGACTTGGGCACTTGACACTGGCAGGGCTCAGTGTGGGGGAAAGTCGTGCACATCCCTAACTTCCTCCCACCAAGGTGTGACAATGAAGACACAGACACTGGCATATTTCACCTGGGGAAAAGGAGCAGAATCGTCCCAGCCAGAGACCCACATATTACTGCGTGTGTGTGTGTGTGTGTGTGTGTGTGTGTCTTGTGTAAATAATTTGGGCTCTTTTATGAATTAATCAGGAAACATCCCTTCCCACCTACTAATGAACAAAAACACCATCGACCTTCTACAGACACTGCACTCCTCAGCTCGGAGAAGGCTGCTGCCCCTTGCTGCTTTCTCAAAGTTTGAGGCGCGCCAGCCAAAGGTGCTTTTGTGGCAGGCTTCCCATATTGTACGACGTCACCGTTTTCTCTCCACCTCAAACTACGAATACACATTTAAACATGCCCTCATAGAAAACAGTAAATGTTCAAAGGTGGACTTTTATGGATTAAAGGATCTCAAATACATGCTTTCCATCTTGGCTGGAATCAGGGCCCGTGTTTGTAGGAACCTCAGAAAACTGGTAGTGCCAGCGCCAGCGTCAGACTGGCAAAGCCCAGTACAGACGTGCCAGGTGGGAGGCTGCTCAGGATGGGCTAGTGTTGGCCCGGCCTCTGAATCTGGGTTCATGTGAGGTCAACTGACAAGCTAACTTCCCAGTGTTTTTATATTTTTAAATGTTACTATTGTCAAAACATTCTTTTCAACTGGTTATTTTGAAATCATGTTGAGATAGACACACTTCTTCTCCTAACCCTTTAAGTTGACCTTCTCACTGGGTGCTCTGCAGCCTTGTAAGACCGCTGAGGTACACAGGCTCCCTCTGGATGTACCACACTGACCTTCCCTTTAAATCAACATGTTGGTGGACATGGAAATCATCCCACTTGAATGTGTCTTTCAAAATGGACATTCATGCCAGCGGCGCCCAAGAAGCTGCCGTTTCCTTCCCGTGTTCATGTCAGGCATGAGACGAGAGCACGGCCCACAGCTCGGACTGAGCAGATGCTGTTCCCCGTGGGCCCAGAGTGGCCTTACCTTTGGGGATGGTGATCTGGCAGCTCAGGTCACAGTCCTGCTGCAACTGATAAAAAGCCACTTCCTGCAGCCGGGCTCGCTCCAGCTCCGAGAGGCTCTGGATGGGGACTGACCTCAGCCGCACGCTGCGGCCCGACATGCTGTTCCAGGTAAAATCACCCTGCGGGCCAAAGGAAAAACAAAGGTAACACAGTTCACCCATCGCTCACAGCCTCCCTCCTCCCTGGCTGGGGTCAAGTCAGACCTCACCTAGGTTTCCAGCCCTGGCTTATGACTCCCCACGCATCACGCCCCACTCTGTTTACTGCCGCTTTTCTCAGGCAACGATGACCTAAAAATCTCATCTGTCTTCAGGGACACCTGTTCTGTTGTCACATCATGACGCGTGCACAGACCAAAGGAGACTATGAACTGTGTGGAGAGATGCTCTGGGGGTCCTACTTTCTCCCTTTCAGGGGAACATTTTGGAAGTTTTTAGTTTTGTGTCTCAAGAATAGGAAAAACTGCTGTTAACTGGATGTAGGCAGAGGAGGCAAACATGTGGCCAGGACATAGGCCTCCAGTTGCTCCCAGCAGCAACCTTGTGGGGCAGCTGCTATGTTTAATGGTGTAGTAACAGCCTATGATAAGGTAATCTCACCTGTTTGTAATACAGAACAGAGCATTTTATCTCATTCTATGCTTATGATAAATACTTACGATACCTTGTACATTAGACATGTGTGCTGCATGATACTAGTGTTACAATAATATGTCACGTCAGTGCAACATAGCCTAATATAACATAATGTAACATAACATCACATAACACAGATAGATGATGAAACTTGAGGCAGTGAGATGAAGTAATCCCCACAAATCATAAAACTAATAAGCACTGGATCATCCAGAACTGAAGCTAAGAACTTTAACCTTGAACATCTTCACTAATTGTAACTGCCGAGCATCTCCTGACAGCACTGATGAGCTATACCAACGGTGGTCAGTGAGAAGGCATGCACTTATAGACGTTGATGCTAACATACTTCACATCAAAGACTCAAAGCGAATATTCCCAGTCTTGAGCACATTTGAGTGCACACACGCAGGACTCCCCTGGCTGTGGCATATGAACAGTGGTGCCCTCAGGGTGGAGGCAAAATGATGGCTAAGAAACAGTACTGCTGACCCCTGAAGTGACCCAATATCCCCTGACCGAGGTGGACTTGGCTGTGAATCAAGAGAGCGGGTAGAGCACAAGCTTTAACAGGTAGCTACTGTTTCCTCAACCATCAAGAAAGTTCCAGGAAGAAGAAGAGCTGGCCCACCCAGGCACTACCAAAGATTAGCTGTGGATGGGAGGAATGGGTTAGGAATCCCATAAGACTTTACCATCTTCACCATTCATCTTAGAAGTAAGAGGCAGAAAGGCTGGCCTGAGCCCTGAGACACTCTTTCCTCCTCCCATAGCTCATTCCTGCCCACGGGTTCATTCCACATACTGAATGGCATGATATAAATTCTTCCTTATTTTTTCCCACTTTACAGGAGATTTATTTATTCATTTATCAGTTTAGTGAATAGAGACTATCTGCTTGTAGGGGCAGAGAGTAAGCAAGGTTAGTGCGGGGGATTATGTGTTCATAAAGACAATGGCCAGGGAGGAAACCAAAAACAGGGGCGGGGCTGGTGGTGTGAGTAGAGGAAAAGGGTTACAGTTTTGATTGAGTGGCCAGGAAAAGCCTTCCAGAGAAGGCCAAATTTGAGCGGGAGTTAAAGGAAGCAAAGGCCTGGTGTTTGTTTGTCTTGCCATGTAGGAATTTACATCACAGGTAATGACGGAGTTGGGTAGGAGGTTGGGGTCAGGGAGTGAGCTTCGGGAATGGGTCTGGGGAAGGGCTAGAATGACCAAGCAGAGGGGCAGGCTGCAGTCACCCTTGATGAAAAGGACTTCCTTCCTGCTCCAGTGCATTGGCATTTGTCTTTATTCTTTCTGCTTTGGGTATAGCTACAGTAAGCACAATTTAGACAGTAAGGAGATGGGGACTCAGGCTTTGGGAGTGGCCCTCACTCACACCCTGTAAACGTTGGCCATGACAATGATCAGTGCCAGGAAATGGCTCCTCATACCCCCAAGGGAAGTTCCACATGGGTTTGTGACTTTTACACATGAAATTTAGATACTTCAGGAAGCCAGCTGCTACATGAAGTGTCAAAATGAGGAGTCCTCACAACAGAGAGGAGGGGTGGCATCATCAGGGAAGGAAATGCGACAACAGGAGCAGAGGCCAGCGAGGGAGATTTGAAAATGCTGGGCTGCTGGCCTGGAAAGTGGAGTTAAGCCTCACATGCCAAGAACCGCAGGCAGCCTCTTAAGGTTGGAAGAGCAAGAGTCTCTCCGAGAGCCTCCAGAAGGAACAGAGCCTTTGATTTCAGCCCAGGGTGACCCTGCCAGACATTTGACCTCTAGAACTGTAGACAGGGCATTTGTGAGGTTTTAAGTCTGTGGTAATTTGTTGCATCAGCAACGAGAAGCTAATGCAAGAGGAGTAGAGGGAACATTAGAAAGAGGTGGCGGAATGAAGGGGAGTGAGTTCAGCTCAGAGTGTTCTCCTCAGACACTTAAAAAAGCAGGTCTTGACCTCCCTTCAGATTCTTATCTCCCCCCTCCCCAGTACTAAGGTACTGCCCTATAATGCAGCTGCCACCACCGATGATTTCACCTGGGGAGGTTCCAAGATGGTAATTCTCAAAGCACGTTGCTTCCAAAATACAAGTAGAGAGAACTGCAGGTGGTACGTTTGTCAGGCTGGGGGGCCATGCAGTCTCTGCCTGCCAAGCCAGGCTTGCAAGTGCGGCAGTCCAACCAGAGGTAAACCAGAACACCAAAACAAACAAACAAAAAAAATGCATTCACACACCAAAATTCAAATCACATCAAACTGTCACAAGACAAGATACTCTTTTTCTTTTGATTTTTTTTTTAACCTTAGAAAAATGTGAAAACCACTCTGAGCTTGCTGGCCCCAGACAGGATGGAGCCTGTTGGCTGTGGGTTGCCAGCTCCTGAGAGCAAGAGGTCAGGGCGATTCTGTACCTTACACTTACTTTATTCGGCATCTATTGTCGGGTGCCAGTGGCCCAGTCCTTGGGTCCTGCATCATAAGCAATAGCTATTAGCTGGGCTTAGGAGGGCAAGGGCTTGGCTGGCTTATTCACCCTAGTGTTTCCAGTATCCACGACAGTCCTTGGCACTCAATTGCTACTGGATAAATATTTTTCTCTTAAGGTCCTAAATGAATCACATCATGAGTTCAACGTGAAGCTGAAAGCTAACCAACCCATGTCTTATTGAATCCCATGTAATACTGGAAGAATGTCTTCTAGATTTGAATAAGCTGCTAGAAAAAATGTCTCTGAAACAGAGGCCAATGATGAACCAAAAAAAAAAAAAAAAGAAGGAGAAGCCAGGCTATAAGGACAAAATAGAAATGCAATATCACAGCAAGATTCAGAGCACAGCCCCTCATCACATCTCTTGGGAGCAGAAAGACATGCAACAGAGGTCAGTGTCACCTTGTGACCTTACGACATGGGTCACACACTGATAAACAAGCACCCAGAAGAGTACCAGACCCCAGTGCACAGCCTAGCCTGTGCCCCGAGCCCGCATTTTTCTTTGGTGACTGTGTATCTCATAAATGGATGACTCACTCTAAGCTCTCCAGATCCAGCCTGTAGAGAAGTCATCATAAGATTCTTTTTAAAAATTCTAAAAATGGATGAGTTCAAATTTGCTTCAATTTCATAATGTAAGTGAAGTTGGAATCGACCTGCTGTTTCTGGATACACAGTTGTAAAAACATTCTATTCTTCTGGGCTACATTAAGAAAGGCTAATGATAACGATATAGAAGGATTAGAAGGATATAGCACGGTGGTTCTTGGAGGTGATCTTGCCCCTTCACCGGACAGTGGCAATGTCTGGATACATTCTGGCTTTCCTGACTGGGGACAGGCTTCCCGTGGGTAGAGGCCAGAGATGCTCAACATACTACGAGGCACAGTGCAGTCCCCCAGTGGAAAACTGTCTGGCCCAGTTGTCCACAGTGTGGAGGCTAAGCGAGATCCAGGCAAGCTGAAGTGAGGTCCGCCTTAGGTTCAAATGAGAATCCCCTTAAAATGATGGTGTCAAGAGAGATCAGCAGTCACTTAAGGGTTTTATGTATCATCAGAGGAATGCACTACATGTATTCCATAATGTATCGCTATGGATATTGTATGTGTATGGGTCTAAAAACTATGCAAATATAAAGAATCTACAGAATTACAGAAGTTACTTAAGGATACTATTATGAAGCACAAGCAGCATAACCAATTTCAAAGAGGCAAACAAAGAAGTGCTTTAATACAATAGAATCTTGATTAACTGGAGAACAACTCATCCAAAGCATTCACTTAAGAGAGTTCTTTCCCACCAGAAGTATATGTCTCCACATTTAGAAAAAAAGACGTAAAAGATAAACTGAAAACCCAACAATCTAATATCTGTGATTTATTCAGAAAGGTCATTCTTTTGAGCTAAATTGCATTTTACAAACAGACATGATTTTCCCATGAAATAAAAGTGATTGGAATAATTTGGGTTTTGGTCTACACCACATTGTTTGCTTACATCCTGAGACGAGTCTCTAATTGAAGCATCTCTTCAACCTCACCCAACTGTAAACTCCCCAAGGCCAAGGGAACCAGCCAGGAGTGATCCCGGGCTGCTCAAAGACGACCTGCAGATCCCAGGCAGTGTAGTTACCTGGGAAGATGATTCCCGTGAAACACATAGGCCGACTTGGGGGACTGGACAGCAAGGAATTCGGCCCAAGCTCCTTCATCGTCAACCAGCAGCCACAGATGATTCTTAACTGTGCAACAAAGGCCGATGTCCATAGGAATGATAGTGAGGAGTCAGGTTCAAATAGACGTGCCCTTTTGGTCTTTAACAAGATTAAAAACATCCCTAAACTTCAGTTTCCTCATTAATAACATGAAGCGACGAACATGACATGAATGCTCAGGTTTGGGTTCATTTAAGACAAAGCAAGGGAATTTTTCATAGAGTTTCTATGAGCTCCCAGCAAGAGTGCAAAAAGTTGTAAAGCTGTTAATATTAACAGTACTACTACTA